TATTTTAAGGAATTTTTCAATTATTTATTCAATAAAAATTTAATTAAATTTAATGAATTGATGCAATAAATAGAAATTGATTGCATAAAAGTTATTATTGTTATCAATATTATAGAATGAAATACTACTGTATATTACGGAAAATAGCCTAAACTTTAAATAAATATTGTATTGAACACAAAGTAGAGAACTGGAAATGCATTTTACGAAATCCAAGGCAACCGTTCCTATGATTCGACTCAACTTTTATTATAAATTAATACATAAAAATTGAAAATAATATTTTATTTCCAAAACAACAAATTATTAATTGTTAAATAAATGCATTAAAATATATATAACATACTAAATATGTTTTTAAAATTCAATGAATAGTTGAAGAATTTAAATGGTTTTTAAAAATATTTTAGTTTTTAGTAATCTTTTAATACAGTAGAAAACTGCTTAAGACAAGTCTATTGATTAGTAAAAGTTGTATAAAACAGATATGAATTTTGGAATATTCTTTAATAATTATTACTTACCCTTAAAAATATTGAAAAATTACACTCAAAATAACACAATCGAAAAGTTTGAATGAATTCCATTGAAAGAAATACAAGAATTAATGATGAAAATTAGATCCAAGCGTTAGTTTCATAAATTCAACAATTGATTCACAGAATAATCAACAGAACAAAAGTGTTTATCAAATATAATGAATGTATTATTATATGAGAAACAATGCGACAAAACTTGTTTGTAAGTATAGTTATTGAAGAGAAAGTTGTGTGTTTGATGTGATGCGCCGACAGTTTGCAAATGCAATCATTGAATGTAAATAAATATATTGAACCAAAAGCACAAGAATAGGGGCTAACGTTGCAAACCATGTATAATACAGTACAACACAATAGCTATGATTGAATTGAGCGCAGAATTAATCACAGAATAAGGGAGACTCCGACACAGCTCTGGGAATCCGATGGCAGCAACTCCTGGAGGAAGAAAGCATTCATAGTATATCTGATAGAAAAGTCAAACAATTTATTGAATGTTTGAATCAATGCGAAACTTAATGTAATATTTCAACATCTAATGGAAATTACTGGTGGATAACATGCGGTGTCCTAACATTGTTGGATTTGATCAGTTTACTAAATAAGTTTATTCAACCTCTTTAGCAATATTGAGGGCTGACAAGAGATCTGTTATACTAATAATAATATAAATGGTTTCTCGCATTCAAAAAACTAACTTTTGATATATTTATAAAAGTTAAAATTGATAATCAGAAAAATGAGAAAATTCTCTTTAAATTGCAATTACAAGTTGTCAATAAAGTGAATACACATTTTAGAGTGTTTTTATTTGTATTTCTGTTAACGTATTAACTTTTTTATTTTATAAAAATACAAATTCAACAAAATTCAAGTACAAAAATCTCGTAATTTCATGAAATATAAAATATCATTTGAAAATAGATTCATAAAAACATTCAAAGATGTATAACAGAGAGTGTGTCTCAGAAGTGAAGTGATGTCTAATAATCTCCTTTTTCTATTTTGCCGATGAATTGATTCCTAAACGAGCCGTAATAGAGATCGCCTTCGCTGTCGACTATAGCTTCTGACACACCATTGAATTCATTAGATCCGAGAATCTGTTTGATTCGACCGGTCTTTCCGTCCAACTTAACGACGGCTCCATTTTTGGGCATAAATTTGTACATAATATGACCCGAATATAAGTCAAACGCAAACATTTCCAACGCATGGTTTGGTGTAATGTTTTTGTTTATAAAGTCAAACACTAGTGAAGATAAATAAAAGACTCGAGCGATTGTCTTACGAATGAATGGCCAGTTCGAGAGCACATCCCTTAATGTCTTGCCTTCGGTTCTAACCAAAAACACGCCAAACCAGACGTCACCGTTGGAATCAATACGGATGTTATCCGGTTCTCCCGGCAGGTCTTTGGCAAACACTTCCACTTCATTGTCACCAATTTCTGTCTGTTTATTGTCTTTAATTAGTCGATGAATCACTTGAAGTGAAATCTTATGGATTGTAAAAGTATTTGTTTCGGCGATAAGAAGATATTTATTGTCTTTTGAGACTTCAACTCCATTTGTGAATCGAAAACCGGATCTTATTTTAAGACTTGTTTTTGTGTCCAAATTATATGCAAACACATAACCGGTGTCTTCGTAGTCGAGGACACTATACGGCACTCTATCTAATTGCCATTTAGTACTCGACACCGCAATATACAACACATTCATCTGCGGATCAAATACCAGATCATTAAACAGACCATAAATGCCATCATTTTTGAAGTCAATGTGCTCTTTGAGACCAGAGCTCACGTTCACACGAAACAAGCCGTCAAACGCTTCCACAACATAGAGATAATCATCGGAACCAAATCTAAGACCCAGAGGTCGTCCGCACTCAACCATCTCTCTGTACTCGTTCTCCACTTGACATCAAATTTAATACAATTTAGTTTATAATTACAATCAAAAACTCAATCAACAAATGAGTCAATAATTACCGCAATCAGTCTTTTTAGCAAATGAAGTGATTTCTCTGATTTCAAGTGTCTTCTTATGGATCTCAACGAGTCTTCCGTCTGCGAGACCGGTGTAGAGGAAGTGGTGTCTCTCTGTCATCGATTCCGGGCCCACAATAACGCCATCCAATAGTCGTTGACTTCTTTGGGCCAAAAGATTGTTCCAATTGTCCAAAGAGTTTGGTATGAAATCGGATTCATAATAAGTGGGATCTATTGGTAAGTTTGGCAACAAATGGTTGGGAAGTAATGCCAAAACTGTGGCCAATATTAGTGTCACTAAAATTATATCAAACGTCGCTTTGAATGCCAAACGAAACACTGTTTTCAATTGAAATGACATTTCATTCACTGTTTATCCGATCTATAAATTGAATCACAATTTAGTGATGATTTGGTGCCACAAAAAGTGTGCAAATGTTTGTGTTTGACATTCAATGCACGCATCCATACAATCCATACAATACTGTTCACTACAGTTGACGTCAATCGGTGTCATAATAGCACACATTGAGTCTCATATGAACAACACTACAACCACTACAACCAAAACAACCTAGCACAAACATAATGCACAAACATACTGTACTCTATGCACATTCACCTACTAAATACCTATTTATAAATGTTATATTTGAAATACATTTATTTTTTCCTTATATAATATATATTTATATTTACAATTATCTTAAAACTCATTTTATAATGTAGTTATAGAGTTGTCTTTATTATTGTTATATTACATAATTAACAAATAACAATATAAAACTTATTTGTTGTAAATTATAGTTTAATAGACGAGCAATACATTTATATTATAAATATACAGGGTGTACATTATTGGACTCCGCAAAAGTAAACTCGAATATCTCGAAAGGTATTCGGTCTAGAAAATTAAATAATATATCAAAATAGTCATCAACTGCGGGAGTTTTTGTTATGATACGGTCATACCATGCGTTGGAAATGTTTGCGTTTGACTTATATTCGGGTCATATTATGTACAAATTTATGCCCAAAAATGGAGCCGTCGTTAAGTTGGACGGAAAGACCGGTCGAATCAAACAGATTCTCGGATCAAATGAATTCAATGGTGTGTCAGAAGCTATAGTCGACAGCGAAGGCGATCTCTATTACGGCTCGTTTAGGAATCAATTCATCGGCAAAATAGAAAAAGGAGATTATTAGACATCACTTCACTTCTCAGACACTCTCTGTTATACATCTTTGAATATTTTTATGAATCTATTTTCAAATGATATTTTATATTTCATGAAATTAATGAAATAACGAGATTTTTGTATTTGAATTTTGTTGAATTTGTATTTTTATAAAATAAAAAATTAACACGTTAATTGAAATACAAATAAAAACTCTAAAATGTGTATTCACTTCATTGACAACTAGTAATTGCAATTTAAAGAGAATTTTCTCATTTTTCTGATTATCAATTTTAACTTTTATAAATATATCAAAAGTTAGTTTTTTGAATGCGAGAAACCATTTATATTACTATTAGACAAATCTCTTGTCAGCTCTCAATATTCATAAAGAGGTTGAATAAACTTGTTATCCAACAATGTTATGACACCGCATGTTATCTACCAGTAATTTCCATTAGATGTTGAAATATTACATTAAGTTTCGCATTGATTCAAACATTCAATAAATTGTTTGACTTTTCTATCAGATATACTATGAATGCTTTCTTCCTCCAGGAGTTGCTGCCA